ACCCTGAAGCCAAATTCCTATTGTCTGAAGGCCCTGTTCAGAAGCTAGGTTTCCCGCAGATGGTGGCCGTGTGTTAAATTTTTTTCTAACGTTTACAGAGGATTGAGGTCAATTTTGGAAGGGGTTGGCATTGGATTAGGAATGTGTCTTCACACCATGTCACTATAGGACCAACTAAACAAGCAGGCAGGAGATTTACTGAACCCTCCTGATTGAACGAATTTGGCGGAGCACTCAGGAAGGACTTGGTTTCCAATGATCTGGCTGGGATGAATCATGCACACTGCACCACTTTCTAAATTCATTTTGGTAATTGGAATCTTATAAATGTCCTGTTGAATCATCTCACCCAGGGGGACCTGGGAAGGGTTGTTTCCCCTTCACTCCGCTGGGCTACTTAAATAGCAATACAGATATTCCTTGCTTTAAGAAAACTGGAGATATGAAACATGTACATTTCCAAGCAAATGCATTAGAGACTGATAGTTAACTTTACAAAAGAGTTAAGATCGGAATCTTTAAGTAGTGAGTGACTATAAAGCAAATTGTTTTGCCACAGTGTCTCTTTCTCTCTCTTTTTTCTACTCTTGAATTGGGAAGACTATGTCTACTGTCTTACTTCCAAGGATTTTAGGAAGTAGTTCTGGGCAAAAATAAGGAGTTCTAGCAGTCAAACTTAGAAATGGGCTACTGTCACTTTCCTTAGAAACTTTTCCCTTTGTCCAACGGTGTGCATTATTTCAGTAATCTCCATGGTAGATAAGGATTTGTATTCTTATGGTTTTATCTGGCAAATGACTTTCTCCAGTTATTGGAGATGGGCGATAGGCAGCCAACCTGTATGGCAACACAGAGGATTTAGTTCTGAACATAATTTTTGCACCTACTAATGGCTGCTGGGGTGACTTAACCTCCTGTGCCTCATCCTCTCCAGCTGAGAAGTTGCATCCCCTACTTCCCTCTTGACCTTCAGTGATTCCTGAGTTCTGAGCTGCAGGAATTCTAGCCAGCAATGAGGTTAATCTTATTTCTGCATTTTATCGTGGGTGTTGGTAGTTGGAAGGAGGCTGTGTGAACTTAATTCCCTTCCTTTGGGTTTGAAGGTCTTTCCTGGAGGCTGATGACTTTCTCAAGACAGGAATGCAGAAAAAGCCCATGGGATTTTTTTCAGAAACTTCCAACAGGAGTTCCCAAAACCCAGTTGCTACTGTTCACTGGTCCAAAGCTATCCCAGAAAATGTCTTCAGAGCATGGCACAGTGTTCTAAGAGAACTCAAACATAGAATTAGCTCTTAATAAATATTTGTGGAATGTAGTTGGCACAAAGCACATGTACCAGTCTCCATGCCTACCCACAGAGGCAGCTCCATATGCACATTTGACTACTGAATTCCATGTCATGCTCTGGAATGTGCTGACCTTCCTTCCTAGGGAAGATGACACTAGTGGAGTGTTATTATTAGTAGGGCAGCTTTTGCTCTGATCTGTCAACACTCTCTCACTCCGGGTCTTTATTAAGCAATGCCAAACTCAAGAACCTATGGCAGTCAACACAACGGACCACCCTCTCCTTGAAGTCTCTTCTTTTGGCTGCTCTGACCCCAAGCTCGCACTTTGTGTCTACCTCGCTGGCCATCCTTCCCAGTTTCTGCTGTTGGTTTTCTTTTCATCGTTAGGTAGTTGAGTCTAGGACTCCTCTAAAAACAGTCCTAGACCTTTTCCTCTCTCTTCTCTTCTTTCCTCATCCTTTCTCTTCTCTTTTCCCTTTTCTTAGATAACTTCATTAGCTCTCATGGTTTCGACGACCACCTATTTACCAATGGCTCCTAAATTTATATGTCAAATCCATAGTTCTCTTTCGAGTTATAAACCCATATGGTTGACTCTCTACTTGACATTTCCACCAGCAGTCTCCCAAACTCCCCAACTTCAACCACCATGCCCTGAACAGTGATCTCCCTTCCCCCCACATATCCGGTTCCTCTATGCTTCCTATACTCGTTCTCATCTGAGTAAGTTTCCCTGTAACACACCCAGTTTCTTAGGTCAGAAAATTGAGACAGTGTCTCATTAACCCCACACTCTCAACCTTTAAACAGTGGTCAAGTCCTATCAATTATTTCCCTACCATTCTGAAATTTCCACCTTGGCTTAATGATCCTTGTCTGTCTCCCAGTAGTGGCATCAGCCTTCTAACTGGCTTCCTGGCAGCAATTCTTGCACTTCTCCTTTCCCCTGTCCCCTATAAATTCTTTTCTTAGACAGCAGCTTCTTCCTTCCTTCCAACCTTCCTTTTTGATGATTTAAATCTTTATTTGTGCTTTCCTTATTTAAAAATATCTTTTCAACTTTCTATTTTGAAATGATAGTAGCTTCATAGAAAGTAACAAAAATATATTATAGAGAGGTCCCATGTGCCCTTCACTCAGTTTCCCCCAATGGTAACCGCTTACATAACTATAGTACACTCTCAAAACCAGGCAATGACATCAATACAAGTATTCATATTTTACCAGTTTCACATACAATACATGTGCATGGGTGCTTATGTGTGTATACATATGGCTCTCTGCAATCTGAGCACATATGTAACCACCACCACCATCAAGGTACATACTGCTTCATCACCACAAAGATCTCTTATGCTAAAGAAAGCTCCTTTAAAGCATAATGTGATCCAGTCACTGCCTTGCTTAAAACCTTTAGTGATTTTGAAGCCCCAGATCATTAAATAAGTGCTATAGGTCCCTGTGTAATCTGGCTCCAGCTACCTCTCCAGCTACCTCTTCAGCTGCCTCCCAGCTCCCCCCGCCAGCCCACCTAAGTCCTTTTCATCTTCCAGGTATCAGCTTTAAAGATCTTTCTCACAAGGCTTTCCCTGACATCTCTGACTAGGTGAGCTTCTCCTGTGGTTTGTTTTCATTATGCTTTTCCTTCATGGAACCTATGACATGATTGTAAGTATGATTGTAAGTAAATAGATACTCACGTAGCTTATTAATTTGAGTTCTCTCTGGCTGGACTGGAAGGGCTTGGGTGACTTGCTCACCACTATATCTTTATTGTCTACAGCAATGACTGGGCTAGCAGGTGCTCAGCGAATCTTAAGTTCATGAACAATTATCACAAGCCAGCTGGTTGTCGCTGGGATGTAGCCTGAGGCCATATAACTGACAAAGTACACTTGCATATATGGGTGTCTGTTCCATGGACTCATCTTCAACCTTGCCAAGGGTGGCCTGTCTGAGAACCTGGGCATGATGGCCCGCACCATCTCAAGCTGGTGTTTTCTCTCTTCCTCCTATTCCAGTATTGCCTGAGAGATTGGAATAGAGAACAACCCTGGCCAGTGTCTTCTTAGGCAGATCTTTGATATCCTTTCAAGAATATCAGCTGGATCTTCATCTAAGCTTATTTCTCTTTGGGGTCATTGCCATGGTGTCACTTTGAGAGGGTTATTAGTTCAGAGCTGTGGGTGCTTCTAAGTTGGATGGTACCTGATGAGTCCTTGAAAGGCTTTTAGATCTGCCCTCTCTCAATGCTTCCATGTGTTCCTTGCTAAGTGTCCCCCACACTCCCCACTGATGAGTCATTTCCATTGCCACTCTTATTTTCTCAGACAAGTCAGTGGGGTTTGCATTTGTGAAGCCTCATATTTGAAGGATCCTTATGTTGACTGAATAGGCGGTATGTTCCCAAATGACCACAATGTAACTGGCTGTCTGAATATTTGGAAGGGAGGAAATGGGGGTCTCCTGCTGTGATGTGACTTTGCCAAGGGGTAATGGTACCATGTGGGGTCCTGACCATCTGTGGAGGGTACTAGGTTGGTGGGACTAACTTAACTGGTGTCTCCTCTCTTTAGTATCCTTCCTTAAAAACACATTTCCTTATGTTCAAGAAGTAATGCAATGCACTATGTGGTTGGTTTGGCAGAGTAGGGAGCTTTGGAGAAGGGCGAGCCCCCAGCAGTAGGCCAAGCTCTCAGTTCTTTTGTGACAGACTCCATTATGGGCTTTGCCATGGGTGTTCTGGGCAGATTCCTGCAAAACCTGGGAACATCATCCAAGTCTCTCTTCCCTGCCAAATAGGAGGTAAGGGTCTTCATATTCTGCAGGTCATAGCTGTCCACTCTGTGCTGGCATCTCTCTTTTGGGTGGGCTGTGGCTATGAACTGAGTCCAGACCTTCAGACCAATCCTTGGGCTATGGACCACTAGGGCTGTGTGCTCTAAGGTCACAGCTTAGTGTCCCTCCCTATTTGCTGTTGGTTCGGCTACCATGATACTTGGGATGGAGAAGAGTAAGAACCAGTGGGTAGACCTGGTCGCTATGATGCTATGCTGCTGCATTTCTTTGCCCTGCCTGCCAGGCCACTCTCCCTTATAGTTCCTGTTATTGTGCAGGGTGCCGACCTCTGCTAGTCTCCTGGGCATGGGCATGGATTCTTTCCATAGCAGCGCAGTGCTTCACAGTACCCCTGGGCTCTGCCCTGGGAAACTTCATGTACTCCCTCTGACCTCTTTGCCTGTGCCCAGAGGCAATGTGAACAACTGTGCAGGTCAGAAGGCCCAGCTCCAAATAGCTCTGATGTGTTGCTCCTGTCATGGTTGATGCTAGGGCTTGGGAAGAAATGCTGGTGACTTTCACAGTGCTGCCATGTGCAGTGCACTCCACCGTTTCTTTTTCTTCCTTTCCAATCACCACTTTCTGTCCTCATCAACCGGTTACACCTTTAGGGGGACACATCTCTTAGGGCAAGAGGACTTGGATGGCATGTATCCCTGAAAAATGTTAATGCCATCTTTCAATGTTAATGCCTCAAAATGATGTAACTGCAGGTGGTTGTGAGGGGTGTGGGTAGGGCCCTGTTTTTTTCCCAGCCTATGATACCCTGCCCTCCCTCCAAGTTGGGCATGAATGCGTTTTTGGTTAAAGTGGTGTCAAGGGGCTACAGGTCAGATCCTCTGACCCTAATGCTGCCATTTCTGCTTCTTGCAGGTCACCCAACCTGCCTGCAGTTCACTCTGAATATGACGGAGGCTGTCAAGACCTACAAGTGGCAGTGCATAGAATGCAAATCCTGCATCCTTTGTGGAACCTCAGAGAATGACGTGAGTTTGGGACTTCCCTTGCAGGAGGGGGAAATCCAAGGATCTGGGAGTCCTTACAGGAGTGGAAAGGGGAGCAGGACTCTTGTCACTGGGGTCTAGGGGAAAATGTCAGTTAGAACCTCCCCCTTCTCTTTGCCTCCAGGACCTTAGGGATCCTTGCATCACAGTGACCTTGGGTGGTCTTTGTGCCTGCGGAGGGAGGTACAGGAGGTGATGGCCAGAGGCTGCCTCCCTGGCCATTTGCCCTTGAGGGTTCAGTGATCGACAGTGGTGCCTGCTCCTATGGTTGGGATGTACTCAACTGTTTCCACCAGGTTCCAGAGTACCTGCTCTCATTTGGTCTAAATGTTAACTGTAATAAATGCAGAATTTAAAAACCCCACACATTCTGTTATGGACAATTTCAAACTTATGTAAAGGTACAGAAAATAATGAAACTGATGTAGCCTATCATCAGCTTCAACTCTGATCATTACATGTCCAATCTTGTTTTATAAATACTTCCACTTCCTCCCACATAATTCCAGTCATAATATCACTTTACCTGTAAATTTTTCATTTGTTTATCAAAAAAGGACTTACTTTCCAACAAAAATGAGAAAAATATTAACATAGCTTAAAATATCAGCAATTCCTTAATATAATCAAACATCCGGTTAATATTCTAATTGCTGTGTTGTCTTAAATGTTGCTTTGTCTTTAATTGTCTTAAATATTTTTTATTATAGCTTATTTATTTGAATTAGGATCCATATAAGGCCCATACATTGCAACCAGTTGATATGTTTTGGGGAGTGGGGCAGAGAGAGAATCTTAAGCAGGCTCCACACCCAGCTCTGAGTCAGCCCAGCTGACACAGGACTCTATCTCCCAACGTGAGATCATGATCTGAGCCAAAATCAAGAGTCAGATGCTTAACTAACTGAGCCATCCAGGCACCCTTATTTTTAAAGTTTCTTTTAATATGTAGGTTCCCCCTCCATTTTGCTCTATTTTTTCCCTTTGATTTTTTTTGTTGAAGAAATCAGTTAGTTTGTTCAATAGAGTTTCCCAGGACTGAGTTTTTACTGACTGCATGCCTGCAGTGGTGTTTGACATTTCCTTCTGTCTCTTATATTTCTTACACATGGGTGTTTAGAACTAGAATCCTGATCAAATTCAGGCTCTTCCTCTCTCTCTGTCTCCAATATAAAAAAAATTATATATGGGCCTTGATTTGATTTTATATATAAACATATATAAAATTATATATATTATATATATCAAGACTACTTCATACATAGTGGTGTATTTTTCTTTATCAGGAAGTATGAACTGCGTGGTATATCTCTTTTTTTGTGAAGGTATCAGCTATTGATGATCTTCAATGAGACGACTATTTCACTAGAGGTTGCAAAATATTATTTTGTAATTTCTTCTTTGTTTACTAGCTGGAGTAATTCTGCAAAGAGAAACTTTTCTAACCTTATATTTGGTTACTCTCAGGTTTAGATTCCATAGAAAAGGTTGGATAAATACTTCTTTCCCTTTATCAGTTTCAAAAAATCACAAGGTAGTTGCAACACCTATTCATGAAAAGAAAAAAAACACTCAAGAAGATAGGAATTGTGGGATACTCTTTTTTTTTTAAAAAAAAAAGATTTTATTTATTTATTTGACAGAGAGTGGGAGAGAGCACAAGCAGGGCGAGCGGCAGAGGGAGAGGGAGAAGCAGACTCCCTGATGAGCAGGGAGTCCAACGTGGGGCTCAATCCCAGGACCCCAGATCATGACCTGAGCTGAAGGAGACACTTAACCAACTGAGCCACCCAGGCACCCTGGGATACTTTCTTAATATGATAAACTTTTTATACCTTAGAACTAAAGCCATAATTTTATTTAATGAGGAAACACTAGAGGCATTTCTACTGAGATCAGGAACCAAGTAAGGATGTCCATTATTCCATTATTATTTACCATTATTCTAATGATATTAGCTAATGTGATTAGAAAAGAGAAATCAATTAGAGGTAGAAGAATAGTAACAAAGTAGCAAAACTTTATTTCACAAACTATAATGGTGTATCTGGAAAACCCTAGAGAATCCATGATAAAGCTAACTCAAACTTTAAAGGTAGCAGGGTATAAAATTATTATACAAAAATTAATAGCCTTCATATGCACAAATAACAACCAAAGGATACAGTAGTAGAGAAATCCCACTTCTAATAGCAACAGAAAAAAATACTTAGAAATAAGCTTAATAATATGTAAAACCTATATGAAGCAAAAAAGATTTTTTTGAAGAAAATTTTAAAACATTTGAAAAAAACACAGAAGTAGACTTGAACAAATAGAAAGACATTGTGTGATCTTGGATAGAATGACTCAATGTTATACAGATGTAGTTCTTCTTGAGTTAATTTAGAAATTTAATTCAAACCTAATAAAAACACCAATCAGATGAACTGATACTAAAATTCATATGGAAAAATAAACATGCAGGAATAGTCAAAAAACACTGAAAACAACAAATTATGGGGGGAGACTACCAGATATTAAAACATATTATAAAGCCTCTAATTAAAACAGAATAGACAAATAGACCAATGGAATAAAAAAGGAACCCATAAATTGACCCAGCTACATATAGACCTTTAGTATTAGGATAAAGGTTGCCTCTAAAATTATATTTTCATGAATGGTGCTAAGATAATAGGGTAACCATTTGGGAAAAGATAAAACTAGGTCCATATCTCATGTAATACATAAGAAGTCTCCAAATGGACTGGGGAATCTAAATATAAAAAATAAAACCATATTAATGTTAGAAGAAAACATGGATAAATTCCTCTTTAAATATAAGGAAAGATTTTCTGTGACTTAAAATTCAGAAGCAATAAAAGAAAATATTGACAAATTTGGCCACATAAAAATTTGCATAGTAAAAAAACATGATACAGTAAAAAGAAAACTGACAAACTGGGAGAAAATATTTACAGCATATATTACAGATAAAGAGCTAATATCCCTAATATACACAGAACTCTGAAAATTTGAGGGATAAGGGACCAGAAACTTGATAGAAAATGGGAAAAAAACATGAAAGACAATTCACAAAAGATATAAAAATAGCCCTTAAACATTTGAAAAGAAATGGTTGATGTAGGGGAGTTGGCTTGGGGGGATGGGGGTAATTTGGTGATGGGCATTAAGGAGGGCACGTGATGTGACGGGCATTTGGTGTTGTATATAACTGATAAATCATCTCACACTACATCTGAAACTGAGGATGTACTTTATGTTGGCTAATTGAACTTAAATTAAAAAAAAGTTTGAGGGCAGCCCGGGTGGCTCAGTGGTTTAGCGCCGCCTTCAGCCCAGGGCGTGATCCTGGAGACTTGGGATCGAGTCCCAGGTCAGGCTCCCTGCATGGAGCCTGCTTCTCCCTCTGCCTGTGTCTCTGCCTTTCTCTCTCTCTGTGTCTCTCATGAATAAATAAATAAAATCTTTTAAAAAAAGTTTGAATGCACTCAATTAAAGATCGCAAAGTAAAACAAAACTGGGATACTACTTACCTGTAAAACTGAAAAATAAGGTATGAGAATATATTCTCTTGATAAAGGTGTGGGAAAATTATTACCCTCATACATTGTCAGTGGGAATACAAAGTGGTACCACTTTTCTGTAGGGACATTTAGCAATACCTAACACTACTATGCACTTACTTTTTGACTTAGCAATGCCATCTATAGGAATCTATCATAAAGATATAGTGCTATGAAAATACATGTGCATAAAGTTGTTCCTGGGTGTCACTGTTTATAATTATAAAGTTTTGGAGGGGACCTAAATGTTATGCAGAAAAATGGTTGAATAAATGATGGCATGGCTACACAATGGAATACTTGCAGCTATAAAAAATGAGGCAGATTTTATAAATTGATATGGAATAATTTCCAGTGTATTTCCAAATTTAATATTGTTAAATGTAAAAAGCAAAGACAATACCTGTATCTATAATATGCTGCCATCCTTGTTAGAAAAGTGTAAGAAAATATACATATATCTGTTTACTTGTGTCAAAGAAATACAGGAAGGATAAATGAGAAACTAAAGAGACTGGTTACCTACAGCAGTGGGTAGAAATGGGGTAGAAGGAATGGGAAAACAGGTGTGGGATAGTAGGGATAAGGGAGAGATGGCACTTCTCTGAGAATGCCTTTTTGTAGAGCTCTGACACATATGACCAAGGTATTATCACAATACCCTATTACAGGTAACTGCCAAAATCAACCAGGATGTGGGGGGCAGGGACTGAAACTGGAACATGAACCTAATGAACCTAACTATAGCATAACCTACTGAAGCAGATAGCATAACCTAGATAGCATAACCATACTGAAGGGTGGAGAAGGAAAGAACTAACTTTGGTAACTTTAGAAAGCAGTACATGACTGTGTATTTTAAGGCTAAAGGCAGAAATGAGTGCATAAATGTTATACTTTATTTAGTAAATGTGTTTCTTACAGGCATGTAAGTTAGTCATTCTGAAACTGCTTGATGTGTGTGCAGGTCTGAACTAATAATTATACATTGTGGTAATGAGAGCCAGTTTTCTCAATGTCAGAGAAAGAATAATCAAATAAAGGGGGAAGGAGAGACTGAATCCTATGATGTTGGGGTGGAGTAGGGTGTATCAGTATAAATTGATGATTTTTTATATAACACATTGTGTATCTATATGCTTATATATATCTATAGCTATATACATGTATGCATACATATGGATAGACACAGAAATAAATATAGGTGTGTGTACTACACATACACTTACTTCCTAATTCTGGGCCTAGAAGCAATGATAACCCAGAAGCAATGGGATCCATGGTCCCCAGATATTGGTTCCACATACCATTCTCCAATAAAACCTTTGGATTATCCAAAGGGACCTTTGGATAAATGGCTGATGCTAGGGCTAGAAAATACAAGAGGAGCCCAGAGCATCCTCTGGTACTAGA